TTTTATAAATATAAGAATGAAATCCACTGCATATCTGCATCAGTCAGCTAGCTCCAGCTTCATAGAAGAAACATGTGGCAGCCATGATTCTACTAAGTGTAATGTGAAAGCAGTAACTCATAGTGACAAACCTACATTCGATTTTCCCATTAGTCTGCTGCACTCCCCTCAGCTCTAGAGCATTTTAGCTTCTTTCTTTTTTAGCTTTCAGCTCTTTGTTTCGGGTTTATGGCTCACAGTGCAACCTGTTCAGACCCAAACAGCAGACAGACAAAGTTAGTGACTATCTGGTGAACATAGCAGAGCATTAAGCAGCTAAAAAACCAAATACTTAGTTGGTGGAGAACAAAACCAAGCTAAACGGAGAGTGCAAATTGGATTTACTGCTATATGAATGCTAATGTTGCTGTGTCTGCTTGGTGTGTTACTAGACAAATACCGAACCACACATAGAAGTCCATCATTTAAAATATACAAGGCCATATTATGTCAAATGTGATAGTTTGATATGGAGTTTTTACCGCAAACAAGAGCAAATGGTTGGTCTGTCAAAAGGCAACATGTATAAGTACACTTTCACCTCATCCTCCGTTGTCCACATTATAGTGAAGTGACTGACAAGACCACAACATTGGGTGTTTGAATACAATTTATATATACATATAGACAGCAGCAGTTTTAATCAGCAGCCATTTACAGCACTGTTCAAAGTCGGTGAGGGGTGGGCAGTTTTTAGTAGCTCTCAATGACTGAAATCCCTGTCGGCCCTCCTCTTAAAAAAACCATCAACACCATCTAGCCCTCCTTTGAATCAGCTGGTAATACGCTCAATGCTTCTCAGATGTCTGGAGGGGAATGTGGATCTCATCAGGCATGAAGCACTGTCTTTGCACAAACTAGACACTCACTCAGCCAGGGTAAATAAACCGCAAACCGCCCTAATTTGCTACTTTTTCCATAAGGGGAGGAAGTCCAGGAATTGAATAACAAAAAAAAAGTTGGAGGCTAGAATTTAGTGAAGTTTCATGACTGCTAGAGAAAAATCAAGCAAAAGTTCTCCTTTGCAGCTTTCACTAATTTCTCTTTCACCAGTTATCATCTGTCATTGACCCTTGTATGTACAGTTCATTACAGCATGATAACATTATTTATTCCACAGTGAAAAGACCGTTGGTGGTGAAAGATACCTACCTTTTGTGCCCGGCTCCTGTACTGGAAAAAGAGGGAACGTAAGTTATTACTGTAAGCGTTTACAGATGGGGATGACTGGGTCGCATTGAATACATTATCATTGATGCTCTTTTTTTCCCACTTCCATTTGTACAGATGTGCCACTCTCCACGTCAGCATGAATAATGGCCTGAGCTTCGTATCAAGCTCTGTCACAATTACTGCAGTCACATGTGTAAGTGCGATTCAAAGCAAAGCTGAACTCACACAAAGCTTATAGATATATTCCAACTCCAGTCTACACTTTGTTCTGACTCGTACTATTCATATTGAAACATTGCATGACAAAACGTGGGTTAGGCATAGAGTAAGGGTTCTAGTTGTTTCTTTCCTGTCACACATGTAAGCATCTTTATTAACTTGAGGCTCTTACTCCGTTTTATTTTCCATTTTATTATAGTTATAGTTTTTGCAAGAACCGTAGCCCATGTTACATTTGGAGGGAATTTATTAAGTTGTGGTAGTCCAGCAAATAAATAGTTACAGTTGTCTAGAATGACAATTGAGAGTATATCAATGAGAGAAATGTTTAGAAAATATCAAGTCTCAATCAAAGCTAATCCCAGAGTTATGGCCTCATGGGTGCTCTGCAAACCCTGGGAAACTAATGTTTGGCTTACACAATCCTTGTGAGCTTTGGGTCCAAATAATAATACTCCAAATAGTAAAATAGTTTATTTATCTGAAGAATAATTGTTTTAAGCCACAGAGGAATATTTTATCCATTAGTTTATCAGACACATTCAAATAAACACATCTGGAGAGAATGGGTAAAAAGTGTAAAGATACAAAAGCTGTCAAACTTCTGTTAAAGTAGTAGGTTCAAAGTACAATAGTTTCTTGTAAGATGCAGTGGAGTAAAAGTATAAAGCTGCAAAATATACTTGAAGTACAGTAAAGTATAAGTACCTTGATTTATTTTACCACCACTTTCATAAATGACTCTTTCTTCTAGTCTCAGTTGCAAACTTGTTAAAGTAGTTTCATTTAAACACAAGTACAACACATGATGTATTTCAGTATTTTAAAAGCAACATGTTGGTTAGAAAGTTGTGTACTGGTTTGATGCAGTACAGTCAAATGACCTTACCCTGGTGATGTCCTGTCTCTTTTTCCTGCTCTATAGTCTGATGGGACCTTTGTTGCCATAGCGTTGCTCATCCTTTTGCTCCTGCTCATCGTCCTCCTGCTCTGGTGGTTCTGGCCTCTCTGCTGCACCGTGGTACGGCAGCCATCTTGGATCTTGTGGATGAACAACATAAACATTTGTGTTTATGTCAGGTTGCACCATCATATGTTTATTTTTCATGTTTGCAGGTAATTCACGAGCCGCCTCCTCCAGTAATAGAGGACAGCTCCGTAAGTGCTTAATAATTGTTCTCCCCTTTCTGCACCCTTTTTAATTTCATAACAGTAATTATTGCCTTGTTTGTCTCGCAAAGTCTAATGGTTTTGCTTCTTTGATTTCTTTTTTTAAAGGATGACGAGGATGGTTTCCCCAAGAAGAGGTGGCCCACAGTGGACGCCTCGTACTACGGAGGACGTGGAGTCGGAGGCATCAAAAGAATGGAGGTATAAGGAAACCCAGATAGAAAATACTTTATTATGTCGTTAAACTTAGTGTTTCACTTTGTGTTAACTTGTCAAAATAGAATACTAATATTGCAAAATGTTTGCAGCCT